AAAAGCCCAATATCTAGAATCTATAAGGAACTCAATGAATTGACAGGGAAAAAAATAAACAATCCCATTAAAAAGTGGGCAGTGGACATGATCATATACTTCTCAAAGGGAGACATACAAGCAGCCAATAAACAAGTGGAATAATTGTCAGCCTCATCAAAGAAATGCAACTAAAACTATAGTGATACACCATATCACACTAGTCAGAATAACTATGATTCAAAAGTCAAAAAGCATGCAAGGCTTAGTGGCTCACGCCTGTAATTCCAGCACTTTGGGAGACTGAAACAAGAGGACTGCTTGATCTTAGGATCTGGAGACTAGCCTATGCAACATAGCAAGACCTCATCTCTATGGTAAATAAATAAATTAGCTGGGTGTGGTAGCTCGTGCCTGTACTCCCAACTACTCAGAAGGCTAAGGTGGAAGGATCTCCTGCACCCAAAAGGTTGAAGATTCAGTAAGCTGTAATCATGCCACTACACTGCAGCCTGTGAGACAGAGTGAAACTCCAACTCTAAAGAAGAGAGAAAGGAAGGAAGGAAGGAAGGAAGGAAGGAAGGAAGGAAGGAAGGAAGGAAGGAAAGAAGGAAGGAAAGAAGGAAACAGAAAACTGAATACAGCATGTTCTCACTCATAAGTGAGAACTAAGCACCGGACACACGCGGGTATAAGGAGGAGAACAACAGACATTGGGGCTACTTGAAGGGTGAGGGAGGGGGAATAATGGCTGCAAATCACCCATCAAGTACCATGCTCACCACCAAGTGGAGGCAGGTTCATTAGAAGCTCAAACCTCACCATCATGCAATATACTTATGTAACAAACTTTCACATGGACTCCTTGAAAGTAAAATAAAATAAAATAAATCAAAATAAAACATGGACAAAACCCATGAAAAAACATTTCACTGAAGAGAGTATACAAATGGCCAACAAGAACATGAAAAAATATTCACCTCATTAGCCATTAGAAAAATGCAAATTAAGTCTACCATGAGATATCACTGCACACCTATGAAAATGGCTAAAATTAAAAATAGTGATAATGCCAAATGCTGGCAAGGTTGCAGAGAAACTGGATCACTGTACATTAGTGATGGGAATGTGAAATTGTACAGTTACACTGGAAAATAGATCTACTACATCCTGTAAAACCAAGCATATACTTAGAATCCAGCCATTGCACTCTCTGGAGTTTATCCCAGAGAAATGAAAAATTAAATTCACCCAAAAACCTTTACATAGATGTTCATAGGAGTATTATTTGCAAAAGCTCCCAAACTGGAAACAACCTAGTTGCCCTTCAATGGGTGAATGGTTAAACCATGGTACATTCATATCATGGAGTGCTACTCATCGATAAGAACCAACTATGGAAATGCATCCCTTGGATGGCTCTCAGGGGAATTATGCTATGCGACAGAAAGTAGATCTTTCACAAGTGGCATACGGTGCAATTCCTTTATATAACATTCCTGAAATAGCAAAATTACAGAGACAGAGAACTAATTAGTGGTTGCCAGGGGTTAGTGGTTGTGGCAGGCTGGGGTGGGGGGAGGGGTGGCCCGCAATGAGAGGCATGTGGGGCAATTTAGCATAGAACTGCATAGAACTATATTCATATACACGGATGAACATGTGTCAAATGAACGAATAAGCTCTGTGGATTGCACCAATGTCAATTTCCTGCTGGTGCTATTATACTAAGGCTTTGCAAGATGTTACCACTGGGAGAAAGTGGATCAAGGGTGAGAAAGACTTCTCTGTACATTTTTTTTGCAGCTTTCTGTGAATCTATAACTATTACACAACAAAAAGTTTTAAAAAGACTACAGTAAAGTCAGATATTTGAAAGATGTTGAAAACATGGGCATGATGCAATGAATGAAGTCGCAACAACAATGACAGTCACAGCAGCCAGACTGAAATCTGATAGGACTTGAGGGTTAAGGTCTTTTAAAGGCTCTTCAGAGTGAGAAGAAGGGACAGTTAGGCTCCCTACTGAGAGCCAATCATTAATGTTCATTAAAACAAACAGTGACTAAAAAGAAGCCCTTAACTTCTCTACTTGTATTTTGTTTGGATCATCTCTGTCAAGAAGAACATCCTTGAGACTGAAATTGGTGGGAAAGAATATCATGAAGAAAGATGTGAAGCCTGAAATAGTTAAGTTGGAGTAAGAGTTCCTGACAGAACACACCCCACAGCCTGGCATGTTCTCCTAGAGAAACTAGACACACCAGAAGTATTAGAGGAAGACTCATGCCAGACGCATGCTCCTAATTTTCAGAAAGGTAGAAACAACACCTCCCAGAATGATATTGTCAATGGGGACACATGTAAATTCTCTCATTCAAGTTCAAACGCCCCATTGTGGAGGTGAAGGATGGGGCGGAACGTTCTAGAGGAAAGATCTGGGAATTTGCAGGTCTCTGAGGGGCACAGATGTCAAGAGTATGTCGAGGCCCTTCAGGGAACTAAAGCAGTCTTCGTGGTAAACATTTCACAATGGACACATACATCAAGTTTTCACATGTGCATCATAAATGTATGCAATTTTCATTTGTTAATCATAACTCTAATATGCTGGAAAAAGAAAGAAGGAAAAGAGGACCTCGACCCCAGACAACAGAATAAAGGGGTTTTTCTCTCGGGGGGCAAGGCTGGATGGGATGAAGGTGTGGAGAAATGCCATGAACAGAGGGAAGGAGGCAATGTTTATTTCGCTGGTAGAAAGTCCGGGAAATGTAAACTCAACACCATTTTTTAGATTAATTTTTAAAAAGTGGCCATATTCCAAAAGTTACTTGAACCACTTCTAAAAGTTTCTGCAATGTGTAATTAAAACATCCTAATCTGGTATTCTTGGGTAATCAAAAAGAAAAAAAAACCAAATTTAATATCTTATCATCAGGGAAAGGCAGCATTTTATATTTCAATACTAGCAACAATAGAGAAAGATGCATGAGGAAAATGACATTGCAGATGTGCCCCAGTGGTGTTTTTGGTGAACCTTCTGTGAAAAGTTTAAGATAGAATTTTTTCAAAAGGCGACAACGTCATAATGGCCTAAATAAGTATTCAGTAAACAGAAAAATAAGTAAATAAGAGGTCTGGCACATTCAGTGCTGAGGGGAGTTCTCTTACAGTGCGCCCTGGGGGGTTACTGTGTTCCAGAGCCTCACTGCGACTACCCTTCATAAGGGCACTCCTTTAGAAAGTTCCATGTGTTCCATGATCTTTGTATCAGAAGGCCAAATGTTGTGACTGCTTCTAGGAAAACGTTCCATGAACGTTTTTGCTTTTTTGGTTGGATTTTTGGTTCGTGACACCCACCATCCACATCAGAAGTCTGAGATTGCCCTTGACTCTGGCATCTCCCTCCCCAGCCCTGACCGACCATTATAGTCCCCTTGACCTGTCTTTTCTGGAGCATTCCCTCTTTTCCTTCCCTCCAGCCACTGCCCCTCATCACCTCTTGCTGCCAAGCTCCTCTCTGTCCTCTGCTCCCTTCTCCAGTCTTCCCCCATCTAGGACAGTGGGCAACGCACACGCACATCTGCGCCTTTCAGCCCCACATACATAAGCCCTCAGGGAGAAGTCTGAACTGAGACCCAGCCTCAATCCCCCACTGGCCTCCCCTTTGCAATTTTGGCCCACCTGTATAGAGCATATTGGCATACTCCTTGTGAGTACGATATAAACATGCGTCACCCACTTCTGCCCTAAGCACTGTCTTCTTTCTCTAACAATCCCCTTTATGCTTTCAACTTTAGAAGAGGTGTCAGATCTGACCTCCAGGGCCCCATACCACGTTAGAACCTTCCATAATGTCCTGTGAGGATTTCAGTTACCACATATAGAAATGGTCAGTTAATGGGTGGTCCACATGGTCACCCTCCTACCAGAGGCCAGAGGCCATGGGTATTCATGTCTATTTTCTCTGGTTAAGTGCAATGCCCAGCAAGTAGTAGATGCTGAGTGTGTCTGATCAGCTGACTTTGATGTCTTCTATACCTTAAAAAGTCATGTATCTAGAATGCTGCGTTCTGAGAAGTTCTGAACAGCCAATGATAATTATAGCCTTTCTCTGCTACCACACCATAAATTCCAAGAGGCAGAGCCCTGGATACTTTGTCTTTTCCCCCCATATATTCCAGGCAGGGGCTGCACAGACAGATGCTGAATAAGAGAGACTGCAGACCAGGGGTCAGAGCTGCCATGGTTCCTACATTGACAACCTCCAGTAAAGCCTGGGAGTGTGCATGACTCATCATTTTGGAAGATGATTCCAAGAGAATGTTCTAGAATGGAAAATCAGAGCTCACTTGTAGAATGCAAGCCCACACGTGACTTTAAATGCTATAAATTCTAGAAGATGTAAAAAAATGCATCATTTGTTTAACACTGAGTGAGAAAATAAAGACAATAGAATTGACTTAATTTTTAAAACCTGAGTTTAAACAAATACAAACTGATTATGAAGCTATGAACATATTCCAGTCAACATGAAATGGAAAGAGTGTTCCCTGATGACCAGTACATCAGTTATAACAGAAATCTCATTAAATCATTTCCAAAAAATTTAAAACTATTTAAAAAAATATTTAGCACTCATCTTCAGTTTGGTGGCACTTTTTCATTGCCCCGTTTTCATTGTTATTTCATCACCCAACTTGTACGTCAGAATAATACAATCATAAAAAAGGAACATTTAATAAGCACTGGCATTTATCCAAGGGAAAATATTTAAATATCATTTAAAGGAAGTGTGAAGCCAAAAAATATAAAAACTTATATGCTAAAAATACAGCACCTATTATTAGCATTCCAGAAATTCAAAATTGAAGCATCCTAGACATGTACTAGTGGGGGTTAGGTGTAAAATGCAGCAGTAGAACAAACCTAGACTTTCTATTGACTTGTCTATTTTTATATCTCACCAGCAGAAAGACTATATTCCTGAGCAATTTCATTACTGGGGAGAAGTACTTTACCGTTGATTTCGAAGGTCTCCATCGCAGTTTGGTCAAAAGCTGCTTGTTCTTGAGTGCTATCCAAGAACTCTTCCCCCTTAAGAATTTCCTTATTTTCCATTGCTGAGCTTTATAGATGGCCAAAGTCCTAGAGCCAGCAGAAATACTCCCCTTAAGAGGAACCACTCAGGGAAAGAGCCTTTCCACTCAACTGCTCTGCTAGTTGTAGACCTGGCAGTACTTCCCTTTGGCTCTGATTTCTGAATTTATGAAATGTTTCCTGGCGTGATCAGGATTGGGCATTTTTCAAAAACGAACTATTCACATGTGGAGTTCCTGCTTGTTAAGGTGGGTAGAGGCGGATTTGGGGCATAAGTTATGAATCCTGAAACCACCTCCCTGCTCCTGGGGCCCTGAGAACTGAGAGTTAAGAGCTGGATGACTCCAGGGAGGACATTTCTCTCCTTCCCCTCTGGCTGTCCAAGCCTTTCCATCATCCCAGACCCAGCTCACAGTCCCAGGACCTCTCTGGTTCACAGTGAAATCTCCCTCTTCTGACCGACTTCAACCTTTCGAGTTCATTCTTGGTACTCAAAGCACCATCCATAGACCAGCAATGTCACCATCACCTGGGAACTTGTTGAAAATGGCGGTCTCAGGTCATATCCCATTTGTAGAAATTGTAGATCTGTAGAAATCCAAATCTACAGTTTAATTTGATCCCCAGGGGATTCCCATACCCATTAAAGTTTGCAAAGCACTGTTCTATACCACAGATTTGAGCATTTGATACTTTCCCTGATAGTTTTCCCATGTTCTCTGTGTGTGTGCATGCATGTGTGTACACATGTGTGTTTGCCTTGGCCCTAGTGAGATCTGAGTTCCTTGAGAGGAACGACCTCTTTCTTCTCTCCCTCCTGTCAGGCATCCCCACCAGGGATGCTGTACAGTGTGATGGTTGAGACATAGATACTTGGAGCTAGAATACCTGGCTTCCAATTTCACCCCTTCCACATAGGATCTGTGTGGGTGTAGTCATGTCCTGTGAGCTTTGAATGCCTCACTTTCCTGTTTGCAAAATAAGAAAGATACTAATAATTGTAATGAGTTTTAAATGAGTCAGATTGTGTAAGGTGGCTAGGATGCTGCTGATATGTACAAGGGAGACTCAAAAAGAACCAGAATTAATTTTTGGAGAGCAGACCCTTTGTAGTATAGGCTTCCCTCACTAAGTAATTGTTCTAGGAACCCATCAGCATCAGTGCACCAGCTAGCATTGTTGGAAGAGGTTGCATTCAGCTTCAGTGAATTTTGGGGGGGAGGTTTTTTCAGTGCATTTGCCCATTTCATGATGGGTGATTTATGAGCACACCTGCCCATACCATGCTGAATGTTCTGCAGTTTTGAACCAAAAACAGCATGACCCCCATATCCCACCTTCCCTGTTTACCTGATCTCACTTCAAGTAATTGTTTTTGTTTCCCTGGATGAAGAAAGTCCTCAAAGAAAAACATTTTGCCCATGTGGAAGAGGTGAAATAAAAATCAGCAGAAGCCCTAAACGGCATCAAAACCGACACATCCAAAAATTGTTTTAGAGCAGTGGAAAAAGCGTCTCAACAGATGTGCTACATAAAACAGAGTATGCGGCTGAAGGAGACTGAAATTTAAACATGTAAGAACAAATACACAATTTTTTATAAATAAATTCCACGTTTGGGGTACTCCCCCTATTAATAACACTGTGATCATGTTGCTATTGTTATCACTAGAGACCCTGTGGAGTTGCTGAGTGCCAGGGAGATGAACAACGGACCTTTGCTTCAGAGACGCTCACAGTCTAGTGTGCAAGTGGATGTGGATACGACTACATTCCAGAACACTGCTGTGAAAAATGCAGCGATGGTTGATACACCCGAAAGGACATATGTGCTTGGGGGCAGGGGACGCAGGGGTGAGAATATCATGAAAAGCTTTAATATCTGAATGAAGGAAACACCAGAGTTGGGTTTAAGGAACTGAATAGGGGTTGACCCAGAGACCAAGATAAGGCGAGGGCCCTCCAGGTAGGATGGGGAGCAAGTAAAGCCTTGCGGAGGTGGGACAGCTCTATACAGGCAACTGTAAGACTTTTGGCCTATTTGGAACAGAAGAGGTGTGGAGGAAGGATGGAGATGAGACCGGGTCAGGCTAAGTCACTTTCTTTGGCTTGTGGTGTGGTAGAAAGTGAAAGGGGAAAGAAACTCCAGAAAGTGAGCTACTGGTAGTACTTTGCAAGACAGAGGTCCCCCTGTGGCGCCCACAGTTTCAACATTCAGGAACTCACTGGTTTCAGCAGATGCCTAAGAGTAGAAACCAGGACCAAAAAGATAAAGGAGAGAATTGGAAGTGAGGAAGTGAAGGCAGTGACAGCTCCAGTCAGAAGTTTGGGAGTGGACAGGGCCAGATAATAGAGGCGTCAGGGGCTTCCCCAGTGGGAAGGAAATTCCACACACAAAGGAATCTGCTCACTTAGGCTGGCTGTGCCTCCTTGTTCTGGCTCTGTCTGGTCAGCTCAGCTCTGATTCTCATGGGAGTCAGAAGGGGGAGCAGTAGAAAGTACTGGGGGCTAATTACTGAGGGCCCCATGTTTCTGGAGAGAGCATTTAGTGGATGTCAAGTGTAATCATTTCAGCTCTGATCATGGGGTCAGTCAGACTTGGGTCCCAAACTCAACTATTTCATTAAATTGCTGGCTGGCTTTTCAACCACGTGAAATTACTGATATTCATCCCTTCCCCACATGCACTAAATGTGACTTTGGTTGACTTTTCTGAGCCTCGGCATAAATATATAGCTCATAGATCATTATCTCTTAATCAGAATTTATCGTTATGCCAATGTATTAGACATTTGCACAACTAGCCTCAGATTGCATGGTTAGAAAGTGCTGGCATTAGAATTTGAATCCAGGACCCCCTGCCTCAATAGCCTGGTTTAATCCAGTGGCTCTAATACAGAGGTTCACACTAGAGGAGTTTTCTGAAAACACACATGCCAATTCCCCACCCCCAGTTTGAGGTTCTGATCTTAATAAAAGTCTCATGGGTGGCTCTAATGTATAGCAGGCTGAGGATTGCTGGGTCAAATAATGAGGCATTCACATGCCACACAGACATCTGTGTGGGCCCTCATGACTCCTTCCTGGGAGGACCCATTAGGTCCAATCATGTGAAATTACTAATATTCATCCCTTTTCATATGCACTGAATGGATACTTTGTATGATTCAAGTGAATCCATTCACCCTGTGGGGCAGGGATTAGGAAGAGGCATGCAAGTCACTAGCCTTGGGTGAAAAGATCCAATACTCAAGGCAAATAATACCTAAGCGCAATAATTTAAAAATCAAAGTTAATGCCAAAATTATATGATGAGCAAAATACCAGCATTTTAAATGTTTAAAAGACCAACATGCCCATCCTGCACCTGCAACGACTCTGCTCACCCTTACCCTGACCTTCTCACTAGCTCTGTGTTTCAGTGTCCCCATTACAAAATGGGGTACCCAGAGTTGCCCTGTTTGTCCAGAGAGCAGGTGTGAGGATCAAATGAAGTAATTAAAGTGTAAGCACATTCGGAAGCAAAAGCGCTGTATGTAGAATAGCATCTTATATCAAGACAGCACGTAATATGAAATGCCTGCATTGTCAATGTTACCCTTAAAAATCCTTTAAATCTTCCATAAAGTACAAAACACACAATTTAGGAATTATGGTACAGTCTCTTCCTAAATCCTACTCACACACTTTTTTCTCCTAGAACATGAATCTAGCTGTTTCTTCTCCAGATGAAGTGCTTGACTTGCATTTGAAACCAGGTTGCCCAAGACATGTAGGGTTTGGTCTGATTTTTCTAGCAGCACGCATATAATTGGATTTGAGTATTTAAATGTGCAGTCAGAGAGGTCTCTGCATAGTTATTTCAAGTTCCAATGTTTTCTGAAGTGACAGCCAAGTGGCTCCCGGTACTTTATCAGACAGGTATGGTGGGGCTGGTGTCCCTGGCAAGTGTGGCCACTCTTAGTGGTCTTTATGGAGACCAACTTTCTATCAGCTGGACGGTTTCAAATTTGCTCATTGGGTGGGCTGCTCAATTTGCCCAGGCAGATGACCAAGAAGGACCTTTAAGTAGCTCCATTCTAGCTTAAAACTGGGGCAGTCATGTTAATGCATGGTATAAAAATCACTGCCACAAAACCAAGTGTCTGAAACAAACAAACCAACCCACAGCAAGTAGGCAAACCGGACCTCGGTGACTATTCTAGGATCCCTACCACACCTCCCTTCTGCCATCTGCCTGAGCACACTAGTAGAGATGATGGGAAGGGGAACCCCAACTGAAGAAAACGTAAAACTTCTATTTACTGACTTCATTTTTTCTGCCAGTGTGAGTGACAGTGGTGGTCATTGAGTGCCTCCAGGCCTACCTTAGTTCCTGGTACTTAAATAAGCTCAAGGATTGCTGATTTTTATTTTATTTTATTTTGAGTCAGGGGTCTTACTCTGTTACTCACCATGGAGAGCAGTGGCACACTCATGGCTCTCTACAGCCTCAACCTCCTGGACTCAGGCAATCCTTCCACCTTGGCCTCCAGAGTAGCTGAGACTACAGATGCATGCTACCACACTCAGGTTATTTTTTGATTTTTTTGTAGAGTTGAGGTCCCACCATGTTGCCTAGGTTAGTTGTGAACTCCAATCCTCAAGTGATCTTCTCGCCTAGGCCTCCCAAAATGCTGAGATTACAGGTATGAGCCACCACACCTGACCTTCCTGATTTGCATTTAAAATTAAAAAGAAAATGAGCAACATAAATGACCATCAGCAGGCCAATAAACTGTGGTATATCCATACAATGGAATGCTGATTGACAATATAAAGAATTAAGCCACAACATGAATGAATCTCATATCCGTTATGTTGAGCGAAAGAAGCTAGATGTCAAAGAGAACATATTGCATGATTCTATTTATAAAGGGTTCCAGAACAAGCAAAACTCATTGATGGTGCCAGAAAACAGAGTC